ATTGATGTTTTTCTCTCTCTCTCTCTCTCTCTCTCTCTCTCTCTCTTTTTCTCCCTCCCTTCCCTCCCCCTTTCCCTTCCTCTCTGAAATCAATAAAAATACATTTTTAGAAAATTCTTCCAGTGACAAGAAAACAAGATTAAGATATATGGTATTTAGACATTTGGGATGATTATAAAAGGGAGGAAACGGGTATATCAGTCGGTTAAAATGGGTGTATTTTTAAAATAGAGTGGAGACTAAGAAATGTCTTTATATCTTGTCTACTATTAAGAGGAGATCAAGAACAAAGTTTAGAGCCGAAACCGGTTTGGCTCAGTGGATAGAGCGTCAGCCTGCAGACTGAAAGGTCCCAGGTTCGATTCCGGCCAAGGGCATGTACCTGGGTTGCGGGCACATCCCCAGTGGGAGATGTGCAGGAGGCAGCTGATCGATGTTTCTCTCTCATCAATGTTTCTAACTCTCTATCTCTCTCTCCCTTCCTCTCTGTAAAAAATCAATAAAATATATTTTTTAAAAAAGAACAAAGTTTAGGAATATATGGAGGGTCAGGAACAGTTTAGAGACTTGAGTGGACGGCAGTAAGGGAGTTAATATGCTCACTACATCATAAGACCAGTTGGTTTGATTTTTTTCCTTCTGGAATGATTCTTTTTCTTAGTGATTATTATGTGTGTTTTTTTTAACTAGCCTCTTTTACATCATTTAGTTACTGCATTTTGCAAGTGCCTGCTACCTGTTTCTAGGACAGTAAAGATATCATTTGTGGCAAAGAAGGTAAAGAGGATCATTTATGGCAAAAAAAAAAAAATGATCATTTTTAGTATATGTTCGGAACAAATATCCACTGCTTCAAATATACTTTAGAAAAACGATTTTATCTATTTTTAGGAAGAGTCCACAGTTCATCTAGGCCACATGTTAAAGGAAAATCACAGTCTTATTACACTACACATGAGTAAGCATAATGTGAAAAATTTTGGCCTAAAACAGTTATGTGATGCACTATATCTGAACAAAAGCCTGCGCTACCTTGATGTCAGCTGGTAGGTGATGATTTATACAGTAAGTAACTCAAGTCATGGGCATAATCTATGTCAACATTCATAGTATATAGTATATTTTGTTTGACACTAATTCCAAAGATTAGAAAACATAACCACTGTTGTCAACTTTTTCTCCTATGCCTTAGAATTTATTTAGTTTATACTGATATTAATCACCTAATAATTTAAGTGAGCAACTTAATTATGAAAATCAGAATGGAAGCAACATTTTATGGCAGATTTTCATTAACTTTTTTGGAAATTGAGTAAAATAAATATTTAGAGAAATAGAAAGTACTGTTTATCACTCTGTAAGTTTTTAAGTATGTTCTATGAATAAAATAATATTTCAGCCCTAGCTGGTTTGGCTCAGTGGATAGAGCGTCGGCCTGCGGACTGAAGGGTCATGATTTGATTTCAGTTAAGGGCACATGCCTGGGTTATGGGCTCAACTCCCAGTAGGGGGCATGCAGGGGGCAGCTGATCAATAATTCTCTCTCATCATTGATGTATCTATCTCTCCCTCTCCCTTCCTCTCTGAAATCAATAGAAATATATTTTAAAAAAGAATACTTCATATTTTCAAATATCTCTATATATAAAAGGCTAATATGCTAAGTGTCTGACTGTCCAACTGGTCGCTACGATGTGCACTGACCACCAGGGGGCAGACACTCAACACAAGACATTTACAGAGAAATGGCACCGTGGACCCCAGAGCAACAGCCCACCAAATCGCAGCCAACACTGCCAAGACCCCATGGCACAAAATGCAGCCCACAGCCCAGCCCAGCCCAGCCTGGAAATGGCTATGGGCGCCAGGTAATGATATCACGTAGCAACGCCTGGCTTCCTCTCCCTAGGACAGGCCATTTAACAATAAACAGCACTATGGATCTGGTGCCCACAAACCAACACTTGGCTTCCCCCAAGTGGGACACAGGCCCCACCACCACCCCGGAGTGACACCCCACCAAATCGTAGCAAACGCTGCTGAGACCCCCTGGCACAAATGCAGCCCACAGCCATTTTACACTTTAACCAAATGTCTGTGAAGCGTTTTCCCGTGCCTCGTCTCATTTGATCCTCACAGAGGTCCTGGAGCAGGCAGATATGTGACTCGGTAGAATCCTATTTTCTTTTCATTAGCCAGCAAATGGAGATTTAGAAAGTTTAGAAACTT